CTACGGCAAGGGGGAGCCAGGACGCCAGGTCAGGTCACCCCCACCCGAGATTGGGTACCAAGCCCCAAGTGTGATAGGAGAAGGATCGTTGAGTCCGAGAGGAACTGACCTGAAAGATAGGATCATGGCCAAGCTTGAAACCTGGACCCCCGTAGCCGGTTACCAAGATTACCTGAAGTACCCTCAGAAGGTCTGCTAGATGATGTTAATGCAGCACTACGGACGATACCTACAACCACGATTACCGACACTAACAAGCTGATCTACAATACGGCAGCAGTGATCAGTGAGATGCTTGGCTACAAGTTGAACAGCCACAAGGTGCAGTACCCTCCATGGAGAAGGAGGCTAGAGGCTAAGATCAAGGTAGCACGGAGGGAGGTTAGCCAACTGTCGGAGTTGCAGAAAGAAAGAAAAAAAAATACACAGAAACATTGGAAATCTGTTTTTGGCAGGCAATCACTTTTTGGCACAACACCGGCAAAAGTGACCCGAAACAGGCACTTTCAATTAGGAGTTACTTTGTGTGTGTGTGTGTTTATACGTAGTTGGACCACACATCACAACAGTGGTGTGTGGTTGGAGGATGTGTTTGTGCGAGGGGTGGCGCAAACATTTTTCTTGTAAAACAAAGGGGGGCATAGTAAAAAAAAGTTTGGGAACCACTGCATTAAGTAAACAAGCTCTGTGCAATTTATCATCTGAACAGATAAGTTCCTGATTTCTAACCAGGTTGCTCATCATGTGAATTGGAATCCAGTGTGAAGACGTTTTAACTCCTTTAGCACATTCCCATTGAAAGCCCCAGAAACAGCCTAGATGTGTTACTAATACACCACTTTATTAGTGCTCCATCCTTCTATTTAGCTGAGATGTTTTTGTTAAAAATATACTGTAATTTATTATGTTTTTTTTTTTTTAATTAAGCTGTAGGATTGTTTTTCTGTTTTTCATTGCTGGTGATTGAATGACAATCTACTCTAACTCCTGAGTCACATGTTCTAACGTCACCACAATGCTAAAAAAAAAAAAATCCACATCCCATATTTTATCATTTATAAATTCAAATGCATTTGCAGTTTTTCCTTCTTGTCAGTTTATCTATTTGTCTATTTGTATTACTTTCTTCTCACCAAAAAATGGCACCAAGTTTGGATTTAACAATACTTTGCAGTCCTGGAATATCAAAAACTTTATTACAGACAACTTAAGAGACCTATAACCTGAATTTTAAAAACATTTAAAATGAACATACTGTAGTATTGAAAGTGGTTAAGATATTTATGACTATATAAAGGTCACAGAAAAGTTTCAAATTACTTCAACAATAATTCAAACCACTGTGTCCTTTAAGGACAAATGTTTTTGTGCATGCAGATTTATTTTTTAGCATTATATTAAAATGGGTTGGTGAAATAATAAAGCAGTTCTACACATTACAAGTGATGCAGAATATTTAACCTTATTGAGAATTTATTCAGAACAACTTATTTGTCTCTTTAAATCATCTCATCATGTACTCAATCATTCAAACATGTCTTAAAGCCACGCGTGGTTATATTAATTCGGTTATGCATTCTTTTCAACTACAGTAAAGAGTTTTAGACTTTCTCTTTCGGGTGGAAGTCTAGTTAAAAACAACTCTCTCTCGTTTGAGCTGCTCTCGGTTAAAGCGTTGGTTCAGCTTTTCCTGTTGCTGAAGTTGTTTCAGTTGCTGTAGTTGTTGCTGCAGTTCCTGCTCTAGCTGCAGTTCTCCTCTTCGTCTGTGACGTTGTATTGCTCTGTGGTCAGAGAGAAATGACAATTTAGATCCACATGCAACAAGAGTAGTTGTCAAGCATTTGCAATAATTGTAGAAGCACAAGTTCTTACTCATGGATAGCCTTGCCAGCTGAATAAAAGAAAAAAGAGATGGAAATAATGTAGTATGAATTTGACACAGTATTATACATATAATATTAATGCAGGATGTACAATGCAATTATACCATTCAAAGGGAATGTGCCTGTAGTGTACATCTTACCATACTATAATTCATATAATATAAAACACAGTAATGCAGGATGTATAATGCTGTTACCGTAACTGTAGTGTACAACTTACTTATCCTAAATTAGCTTTGTCTAGAAATGATAATTGAGCTGTGATCATGGTATCTGATACCACGGCCAAAAACCAATTTTTTGCTGATAAAAGACTTTGAGGAAGCTAGCTTATTTTTTTGTGTTAACTGTATTATAGTGAGGAAGTAATGATCACTGGCATTTCTAATTTTAAGTAAACAAAGGTAAAATAAATGAGGCAGAGGGTAAGATGTTTTCAATATTAGACAATTTTACAGGTCAACTTTAAATTTTTAAGCCCATAAGCCTCCAGCCAAATCTGACATTAGCTGTTGCTTTTAAATAAAATCAGACACCTCACTTTTTCAGAGAAATTGGTTCTCATCCTCATAAGGTTCCCGTGTAAAATAATGAAAGTACCCCTATATGCTATTGTCCAAACTTAAACCTTGGTGTGTTTCTTTCTAAGATTTTAAATGTATTAAATATTTAATGTATATGTATGTGTTTATGGTTATGCATATAGTAAACTTATGCTTTACATAGGAAATGCGAGCAAAGAAAGTGGTAAACATAGTAGTCCAACATTAAATTAACATTAAACACTGTAATGTTATTACAGTAGTTACACATCTCCATTCATACATTTTCTACAATTTCTACCAAGATGATGATTATTAGAATACCATGAGAACGGGTTACTGTAAAGAAAAATCTAAATATCAACAAGATTACCATGAATAATTCCACCAATAATATGGGAAATAAAGCCTTCCCCAGGTTCAGCCATGAGGACGACCATCGACAGCACAAGGAACAGTATAGTGCACTTCATCCTAGAGATAAGAATCAGAGAAATTATAAATTGTTGTTTTTGAGCAGCTAGTTCAAAGTAAAGTAGGAAAACGGTAACATATTTAACATTACATACCTTTCTGATTGAAATGGAATTCAACTCTTCAACTTTTGGAAAGTAAGTGGTATAAAGCCTACAAGTAATGATCTCTGTCTGTTTACTCATCTCTTTATGTACCAGCTGGATTACTTTGTCTTGCTTATGCAAAACAGGAAGGAAAAGAAAAAATAGACTATCACATGGTATTTTGAAATGCAAAAAAAACTGCATAACTGCACAGTCACAGGGACAGGCAGTTTCATGGTGAGATGAGATCTGTTCCATTGCCTTTCAATGGCAAATTAAGCATAAAATGACTGAAGTTGAACTTTTCAGTCCAGATTACATTGTGCTTGAAAATAACTAAAATACCCTGCACAGTTCTGGTGAGGAATTCTTTGGAGATTGAATCAATTAACTTTTACAATAAAGATGGGAAAACAAAAGTATGGAGGAGGAAAGGAAGGACTCTAGATCTCTATATTAATATACTATTAATATTAATTAGTGGTGATCTTTATAGTAATATTATACTAATTATGTTTTTTGTCAAACTCTTAGGCCAAACTGCTATCATTCTTGGACCATTGGTGCAATTGCAAAATTCCATTTCCTGAAAGCAGCAACACTGTGCTTTTCAGTGATATTAGGGTCGTCACGGCAATCCCAGGCAAGGCGCCATATCCAAATCTTGGCAAAAAAAACAAAAAAAGCACAGCAAACAGCAAAAAAAAAAATGTTAGTTTTCTATAAAGCAAAAGGTTGATTCTGCTCATCTGGACGTAGCGTTTTCAGTGGGAAAAACGTTTCGTCATTCATCCAAGTGACTTCTTCAGTCTCAGCTAACTGTGGGCAATCTTATAAACAATACATTTGCACAATGAGTGAAACAAGCCCACTGAATGAACAATGGGCCATGAGGTAAGTAAGTAAGTAAGTAAAATTTTATTTATATAGCACATTTCTAGATAGAAATCACAAAGTGCTTTACAAGATATAACAGATTATAAAAATTTTTTTAAAAAAAAGGTCAGTTCCTTGATCATTAATATGCAAACTGTCATGGCAATTGATCAACAACCCTTGATCAAAGCCTATTGATCAATGGCCATGAATACCATTCACATAGAGTTGCTTAATAGCTGTAATCTCAGTATTGTAAGATTGTGAAAGATGTACTCTTGGGCCCTTCTTTATCCAGAGATGGTTATTTCCTTTTCACGACTTCTGTAGAGCTGCATCACACTCACACACTCTCTTCTCTCAATTTGGTCTTCCTGAGGCTTCTGCCACCCTGTGCCTGGGATTACCGTAATGACCTTAATATCACTGAAAAGCACAGAGTCAAATGGTTCACGACTTACAGGACTTAGAGATGTTTAAAAAACACTTGTCTGAAGCCAGCAACAGGTTAGACTTTAGAGGGTTATTTTTAGTATAAATAAATATTGTGTTGCTTCTTCTTTTAGCTGCTTCCTAATGGGTCGCCACAGTGAATTAGCTGCCTATATTTCACTCTATCCATAGCATTCTCTTCTGCCATGCCAACTCTCTGCACATCCTCCTTCACAACAACTCCTGCCTACTAGTTTTTCAACATCCTTTGTCCAAAATATCCGCTACTGAGGTTGTGCATGTCGCATCATGTAAACATCATGCAAGAACTCTGCAATATTGGATGTGATAACAAGCAGCAATCACACCCAATGACTTATACATTCTTTACATAAAAATTATCATTGCTATTTGTTTCCCCTTAACAGCTATATTCTGCTGCCTTCTTGGGTGCAGGCATAATCAAATAAAAAAAGAGAATGTTTTTTGATCATTTTCCTGGTGATTTAGATAGAAGACGATGAAAAACAAACTATTTATCTGATATGGCAGCATCAGATAAATAGTACTATCAATTAAAAGCTGTTTATCCATCCATCCATTCGCTACCGCTTATCCTTTTCAGGGTCACGGGGGGTGCTGGAGCCAATCCCAGCTGTCATAGGACGAGAGGCGGGGTACACCCTGGACAGGTCGCCAGTCTGTCGCAGGGCCAACACACAAGGACAGACAACCATTCATACTCACATTCACACCTAGTGGCAATTTGGATTATCCAATTAACCTATCCCTATCCCCACTGTTTATATTTTTAAAATCACCAGTATCTGTTTCAAACAACATTTGATTTTTGAAAAGGGTGCTCTATGAGAGTGGTACACTGGGCACACATCTGCTGTTCTGGTCGCGGGTCCATCATCATCAACAAAGATTACACAGCAGTGGGGAATACATTTAATTGTAATAAAAGTACTGAATATTTTATAACTACATTTTGAAACATAATTGTGGAGTGGAGAGAGATAGGACCCAAATGACTGACTCACAAAGACATTCTCAAAGATACGGAATGGCTAACTGAAGGCCGGATGGTCCTGATCCCAGAAAGGGACCGGTCCCATCCAACTACCAGCCAATAACCTGCCTCAGTACCACATGGAAGCTCCAGTCAGGCACCATAGCGGCTAAAATGAACAGAATGGCTAACCGAAGGCCAGACATTTTTTCCCCCCTATAATGACTTCCAGAGCAATAACAGTAAACTTTCCACACAAATACCTGAAAGATGACATAAAATGTGGAGTCTGCAAGGCGTTGTAACGGGTTGTGTTCAGTGGTTGAGAGGAGGCGGTAGAAACCTTAGCAGGATAGTACGACGAATACATGATCACACTGGTACTGGGAGTTCCACAGCGCATCCTTTTATGTACCTTCTCTTCATCAACCATACAAGGCCCGGTTGAACGGCTGCTGCTTATCAAACATGACACACAGTGTTCATACAACCTGTAACGTTGCAAAAGTTTGTGGAGAGGTAAAACATATAAAGTCTGTCTCTCTACCTGCACAAGCACATTGTTCCCATAATTCACAGAGAGGGCGGTGCCGCACACTAATGACATCATAAACCCTTGGCTTAGGTTGCATTGAAGAGACACCACATCATTGTGACTGTTACAGTGTGCCCTATATTAAATTTGCTTACCTTTAGCCCTTCAAATTTCTAAGGGCGATCGAGTTTGTAATAATCAGCTGCCTCCTTTTGATGTATTGCAATCATATTTGTATTACATAAGCCTAGACACCCAAGGTTTCAGCATGCTATAATATGAATTTATTAAAGAACAGACAATTCACAAAAACACTAAGAGTACTTTATCAAGTAAAGTAATACAAAGTATAGTTTCAAGAAATAATTAGCTGCATTTTATTTCTGTTGTTATAGACGAAGCTTTTCTTTTCAATAGAATGGAGGTTTTTTTGGTGGTAGCTTGAATTTAGTCAAAATTAAGTCGACGACGGTGGTAACTGATTGCACGCTTATCCAGCTCCTGATCTTTTTGCTGCTCTTGCTTTTGTTGGACATCCTTGACAGCATCCTTGACACCAGATCCATTGACGAGCCTAGTGGTAGCAAAGCAGACACATTACAACAGAAATTTTGCATTGTACTACCACTTTTACTACTACTACTACTGATTATTATTATTATTATAACTGTTATAAACTCTCTTACCGATGAAGAAAATGTTTGGCTAAATAAAACAAACGAGAAGAAAATAATATAAATATATAAATATGAATATTTAGTAGTACATTCAGCACAATTGTATGCTTATGTCAACCTTTTTTTCTAAAACATGCTTTTTCAAAAACTATACCTCCATGGAAAACTGCGTCCCAAATGCACTCTCCAGGTTCAGCCATGAGGGTGACCATCGACAGCACAAGAAATGCCACAATACACTTCATCCTAAAAAAAAGAAAAGAAAAAAGAATCATCGTCAGGAATAGACATTGACCATTCTCAGCACATTTACAGAATAACTGTGATTCATCATCTGTTATAAAACATGTTACCTTTTCCACTCTCTAAATGCCAAATGAAAGTCTTTTATCACAAGGGATTTAGATTTCTCTGACGGCTGAGTGGCTGGTCAGGCTCTCTTTATATTTGGTGGGCATGCATGCGTAGTAGCTGTGGTACATGATTACAGGAAGGGCACAAGAATGTATACAGTACCATCAGTTCACACAGGTCACACTTTTCATTACTTCCCCATATTTAAAATTTTCTTTAATTGACCTAATTAGACATTCATGTTTCATAACATTACTGGAAAGCTGTTTTGATATTCAAATTTTTAATTATGTTTTAAATAAAGAATAAAAAAATTAAAAATTTACTGCTGGTAAGTGTTGTCTCCCTAGGGTTTAATGATGACAAATCTTAACCCCATATTTGAAACTGACAGTAAATTGAAGAATATTTTTGGGATGACTAAAACTAATTACTGATTATTAACATATGACATTGAACATTTTTTTATTTTTATTTTTATTTTTTTAGAAATAATGGCTATAGGTTAAGAATGTATACAAGTAAAAAACAAACAAGCATACTCTGCCCCTATTAGAACCAGTCATTAACATGGAACAGTGTGACTTTGGAAAGAGGAAATAACACATTCACAATTACCATATTGGCTTGCCATAAGTGGCCAAAACTTTTAGACTCCCTGTCACGGCGGGGTGCGCCGATGTGTGAGGAAGCAGGACCCAAAAGCAGATGATGGACGAGGAGTTGTAAGTTGTAACAGAAAAGTGATCCTTTATTAATGACGGCACAGGAAACCAAAGCAAACTGACAAAAACACTAAGAAACAAAAACACTAAGAGGGTCTGAGACCAAAACACTATAACTATAACTGTGGTGGAAAATAACAGGCAAAGACTAAGACTAAGACTACCGTAGAATAACAGACGAAAACCATGACTGTGACTGAGGTCAAATAAACAGACGAACCGACAATGACAAGCAGAAAACAGAAGGCTTAAATACCCACATGAGGTGATCAGTGGAAGTGGAGACACATGGGGGAACAGCTGACAGACATAACCCTAATGACAGGACCAAGAAAGGAAAGCTAACTATAATGAACAAGGAACACAAGACACTGTCAAAATAAAACAGGAACACTAAAACTAAGCATGGCAACCCAAACTTAACAGACCTAAATACATAATGATAAATACCAAAACCCCAAAACATAGAAAACCAAGGAACAATAAACAATAACAACCCAAACTAAAGACAGATAGGAACTGACACAAAAACTAATAACATATCAAAAATGAAACAAATACAAAAGAGAGGCTCAGAGCACTGGGTCAGAGACCCAGCCTGTGACACTCCCTTCTGATATTGCATGATGTTTGTTTGTACTACACTGTACTCCTTTCCTGGGTTTAACAGCTTGTTTCAGATTTTTTCTTCTTCTAAGACCTCCATCACAAAAACGCAGTAATCAGTCACAAAAATGGGCAGCACTGGAAAACTTATGATACGTGATATATGATGTGATATATGATATCATATGATATGATATATAATTTCTTTGGCCACAGTCAAATTACTAAGGTTTCTGGAGTTTTCCTGGTAAATGCCGACTTGTCTACAATCCTTTGGTAATTTGCCTCCAAGCAATAGTGACACTTCAAAAATATTCACTTCAATAATGAAGAGACAGACAGATTTATTTATTTATTTATTTATTTATTTATTTATTTATTTATTTTGCCTGTTCTGTCCGGCACTGTAGCATTCAGAATTATTGTCTGAAGGTCAAGAAGAATTCCAACAGCTTTACTTTCCCAAGTAGTTCATTACAGCTTTTGCCATACTGATCCACTTGATTGTCATAGTTTTTTCGATTTTTATTATTTATTTATTTATTTATTTATGTAATTATTTATTTACTTTTAATTCTAACTTATAAAAACCAAAACAGACCGGGGAGAGAGATGAAGAAAAAAGAAGTTGGACAGGAGAGGGAAAGAAACACAGGAGAAGAGAGAGGGAGAGAAAAGACATGCACTGTGCGATTTTTTTTCAGTCACGTTATTCAGCTCCTGCTCAAACTGTACGATTGACTTGCAGGGGTTATAAGTTTGTTGGTCTCGATGCAGGGTCTCACACTATACAGCCCGATGCTCTGATGCAACCTGAGTGCTCACACTGTCCGTCCCTAACAAGTTATAACACAAAATGTCTCTCCCTCTCCCAGACACACACACACCACCACCATCAACTTTGCTAAATTGCTAATGTAAAAACATTGACCAGACAGCTGCAATTGAGCAGCAATGTCCACCCAACAATTTTTTACGGTTGTTGCGGTCGTGATAATTTTGTGAGGCCACATCGAAAAAGCTCGGATGAGCCTGCCAACTTCTACAAGTTGGGCCTCCATCTCTTGTGTCCAGATCACACGCTGCACTGCCATGGTACTCTGTCTTTTTGACTTCCATTTCTGTGTTTGCGCATGTGCAGTGTGAGAGGTTGCGTTAAATCGGCTCGTGGCATTGCTTCACGAGGGGCGACCAGGATTTCAAACAGGTTTCATTTTCTTGTGATCATACGATTGCTGATCGGGAGCTGGTTGTGAGGTGTTAATCGCTCTTCGTTACCCCATGTATACTACACAATGCACGACACATGATTAAGGTGAAACTCTGGCCGATCCCCAAAATGGTCGCATGACTGAAAAATTGTCTCAAAATGGGCCAAAAATCGCACAGTGTATGCCCAGCTTTACATGTACACATGCAGTTACTGTCCCTCCATTTAGAAAGACAGAGGCGTCACAGTGAACTTCTACATTCAACACAAACGCTCTCACAACCCAAATCCTGACTGAATGTTGTTGTTGGTATTGAATCCATTTTTTTTATATTAAATTTATTTATGCTGTATGCATTTTGTTCATTCCTAAGTTGTGAGTCTACACAACAGCAAAATGCTGTCTTTAGTTATTAACATTTGAAATGATGAAGGCACTTGAAAGTAACACAAAATTAGGTGCCTTTCCAGAAAAACAAAATTCAGAAGTATTTAAGGTTTGCACAAAACCCTGTTTACATTTTTTCCAGCCAGGCTTCTAGACTTCTGATTTGCCAACACTTCTAAACAGTTAGGATTTGGCATGTTTCTGACAGCGCTTGACTGCGTTTTTGGCGTTTGCATAGTCTGTGTCTGGGAGTACCTGTTTGTACACAGGTGTGTACAAACAGGTTGGGCATCTGATTAAAATGCCTCCTGGATGAGGTGTTCTGGGCATGTCCCACCAAGAGGAGGCCCCAGGCAGGCCTAGGACACACTGGAGAGATTATATCTCTCAGCTGGCCTGGGAGAGCCTTGGTATTTTCCCAGAGAAGCTGGAGGAGGTGGCTGGGGAGAGGGAGATCTAGGCTTCTCTACTAAGGCTCCTGCCCCCACAGGCCCAGCCCTGGATAACCAGAAGAAAATAGATGGATGGAAGCTTAACCAAAGTCCTTTAAACACAGGCACGTTTACATTCCAGGTCTCTAAGAAAACTCAGTATATATAAATAAGAAAACTGTGTTAACTAAACTTTATTAACTAATTATTGTGGGTAGTTAAAATCACTGGTGTGATTTTGTGTTGGTGTTCATTAAAATGTGCTCAGAATTTTGCAAAAGAACAATGATTCAGCTCATAAATCATGACCACTGCTCTCCCCTGCATAAGCTCCCTTTATAAGGTTAAAAGTATCATTATAATAAAATGTTATGGTCAATGTTATGGAATGCTGCACTGAGGTCTAGCAGGGCAAGAAAATACATTTAAGAGTCCAAAATGCAAGTCCTCTGTCACGTTTTCCAAAGTTGTCTGGTGGGCTGGATTGGAGTCTTTGCCAGACTGTTTCTGGCCCCTGGGCCTTATGTTTGACGTCACTGGTTTATAAGGTCTTGAAAAGCAAATAAATATAGAATCATCTTGTGTGATTATAAATGTGTATTCTATGAGAATATTAGGTAATTTAGTACAGCATAGTAAAGACTAAGCCATTCTTCAGAGTTTAAACCAATGAGACAGAGCAGGCTGTGGTTAACATAGGTGAAGAGTACTCAATTTAAATTTAAGATGAGAATACACTTTCACTTCCCACATTCCAGCTTTATTCTGTATAGTGTGGTTAGGGGTTTAAAGGCAGCCCTCAAAGCTCATATAAAATCTACTTTTATTTTGTTGATTTAAGTTGGCTAAATCCAAGGACAGCAGTAAACCTCAGAACAAAAGTAGCAGCATAAATCAGCTGTACAAAGCCTTTGCACAAAGAAAACCCTGGCCAGGATGAAAGTTTGTCAAAGCATTTCCTTTTCTTTCAGCCATTTTTTGTTATGAAAACCTGTATATTAAACCTGACCATAATATTAATACAGTTTCTCTATTAAAAATACTCTTTTTACTCTAATCTTCATAATCTATATTAATAGATACCTTCTTATGATTATATCATAAAGACATCAGAGACATCATTAGCTGGCTGGGTTCCCATACTGCTATATTTGATACATTTATAGTTCCCAGCAGCAGAGATGGGCTGTAACACGAAATCCGATTACTTTTTTCAAGCAACAAGTAATGTAAGGGATTGCTATTGAAAAAAACAAGTAATTTTATTACTGTTACTTTCCCACAAGTACGCTGTGTTAATGCGTTACTAAACCGTCGTGATTTTGTTTGTCAGAGTGTCTCATGACAATGCCGTATAAGCGTGTGATGTCCGTGACAGCAACAGACGTGTGTAGATCAAAAATGGATAATATGGAGTGCGGGAGAGAGTACGACCATGCAGTGTTTAAAGCGTGGACATACTTACATTACTTTGAGTTTGATTCTGTAGAAAGTGACAAAAACATTAGCGTGCGCTGTACACTCTGCTTGGGAAGAAAGCTTCTTTCTACAGTGAGAAATTAAGCTTAAAATCTGAGCAAACACCTAGCAAGCCGCCACGGGAATGTGAAATTCACAGAGAAATGTCTGGAACCCCCCACTGACATGGCCACCGGACAAAACTCCACCGCCCCACTCCTGCTAAACAGGTGGCAATAGATTTAAGAGCGACAGGACTTAGTGTCGCTGAATCTTTGATTTTATTTTATTTTTTGCTGTGTTTTACTTGCATCTATT